CGATACTAAGGCCTATATTAAATCACCCGGCGCTTCAACGACGTCAACTGCAAAATTAGTACCGACGGCGACTTCAGTTCCAGTCGCCGAAAGCATTCACCCGAAATCGTGCATGTCGTCCGGATAAAACCCTACCAGTCCATCTAACTCTCGCTTGTCTTGTGAGCGCCAGTGCATATATGTGCGTTTTTATAAGTAGAGCACCTTGGCTGCACATCGGGATGATGCCATTTTCGAAGGGAGGCATGCCTGCTGCCAGGAAGACAAAGACGACAGTGCATACATGCATCTGCACGCTTTTATGCAGAAAGCAATGATGAGGAAGAAGAGGAACGCTCTGGCACGCAGTAAATAAAAAGATCGATCTATTGCTGCTTTTTTAACCTGTTCAATACGACCTCTGTCATTACGTCATGATAATATTAACTGACTTAAAGTATGTGGGCCATGATATTTTTCACTGAATAAGGCTGAATAATGTTTTAACTGTTTTTTTCATTTTCTCAGAACACAGTTTTTTACCACTTTCTTGTTTGCTTCTTCAATAAAAGTGAATCTAGGACAGCTAGAGCTAAAATTCGTTTTGCACAATGTAGTTAAATGTGCACAAAAAGCAATGCTGTGCAGCTCCACTTCTTTAATTGTTCTTTAAAAATTTCTTTGTTTTTGGTTAAATGTAGACAGTGATTGTTATTTTGCTGTGATTCCAGAAGTACTAGTTCAATTTTGGATCAGCTCTCAGCATTGCCCTCCTTAGGCTTTGTAGTATCTATATATGTGTTAATGACTATGTAATTTCGTGTACATAAATTTTCATTGCTTAAGCAAGAAATACAATGTATTTACTAATTATTTCAGAAAATAATTAACCTGCATAAAATATACCTGAATAGTTAGAATAGGCTAAAAAAACTGAACAAGGCTGTGCGGTTTCACCTAATTTGGTGAATAAATAAATAAACCACTTTATGTTTAAAACCCATCTTTAAAACCCACTTTATCTTTAAAACCCAGAGAGCAATGGAAAAAAAAATGGTAGGTGTAACCTTAAGAGACAAGAAGAGAGCAGAGTAGATTAGGAAACTAACGAGGGTTAAGGATATCATAGTTGAAATAAAGAAGAGGAAATGGACATTGGCCGGGCATATAGCGCGTAGACAGGATAACTGCTGGTCATTAAGGGTAACTACCTGGATTCCCAGAGAAGGCATGCTGGTTATGGGGAGACGGAAGGTTAGGTGGGCAGATGAGATTAAGGGTGTAAATTGGCAGCAGCAAGCACAGGGCCGTGTTAACTGGCGGAACATGGGAGAGGCTATTGTCCTGCAGTGGACGTAGTCGGGCTGATGATGATGATGATCTTTAAAACCCATGTACCCTCTTAATAGGCTCTTAAAGGCCGCTCTTCCAGCTTTCACTGGGATTATGCTACGTGCAGCCCTGGCGATTTTTTTCACGAAGAAAAGAAACATTGGCATTGTTGTCTTGTAATCTATTAGGAACGACACAGGTGGGTGTCCCCACTACAGCACAATCAAAGTGATACGTATGAATCTCAAGCGGGACCAAAACATTCTTATTACCTGAAACTTTGTATAATAAAAAACTAGCAAAATGGGTTTCTAAACAATGAAATATCCACAAGACATTGATTTCGATAAAAAGAATTTGCGTATGTTTTTCTGCGACACATGGGAACAGACCAATAAGGGATGGTGCAGACGGCTGCCACAAAAGTGCATTTCAGAACTTCGCTCATGACAAACTGAAGGTTGCTAAATGCTTTGTGCCTTTTTTATGCCTTTATCCTACCACTGCATTAGCCGCATACAGGGATAAAAGTGAACTTTAGTGTCTTCGAGCAGCTTTGGCACAGTAAAATGTAAAATGGGAGTGTTAGAGCAGACCCGGAGCACCAAAAGGTGTGCTTCAGAGCAATGCAAGTTAGTTTTGAAGCAACTTTCTGCGGTCAAACATCATTGTCAATTAAAATTATTTCTAGTGAAAAAATTTTTAATGGTCTTCACTAAACATTTTGTACTAATGAGCTGACCAGACTTACTACCCACAAATGCGTGCGTGCATGCATGTGTGTGTATGTGTGAGCGTGCGCACGTCTGTGCTCCTATCATTAGATGTCACAAATGACAGAGAAATAACTCAAAGAAACAAGGGATAAATGATGCTTGTCTTCCATTTTCATGACAACTAGATATTTACGGCACACTTAGTTTAGCGAAAGTATCTTATCCCTCACTCTAATTAAACAAGCTATTCTGCTCATCTGTGCTCGGTTTGGAGCGAAGAAGCGATGACCAATTCACAGAGCAAATCCGCGCGCACGCTACAGTGAGCCGCCCAGCAGCGACGGCGTGGGCAACATAGGTGCCGCACTGCACATAATTAACCAGGAGATGATCGAGGCCACGCAACCACTCAGTGTTTCAATGAAACTGTCAGTTGACTGCTAGTGTGAGAGTTCGATAGAGAAGCGTACATATGTATCGCGGAAAGCCGATACGTTCTGTCGCTATGTCAGTCGCTGCACATCCTGGACCCGGTCATAGTTTCGAAATGCTGCTTCGCTGCTGTGTCCCATCAAACAATCGAGTGGGAGTGTCAGCCCAGTATCTTTTCACACTTCGGCGAAGAGTAAGAAAAGACTTTTTGATGGGTACTTTGGGCAACAACTGCTGTGTTACTGGATTAGCTCATTGGTGGCGATGGTGCACGTGTCAGGAAATGCACATTCCTACTTGAAACCCACGCTGTCGTTCATGATCATGCTGCAATCTCTACGAGTACAAATTATCGAGGTTTTGCTGCATTACTAGATAATTCACAGATACTCATGTTGGTGCGACCACTTTTGCGCGAAAACCACGGCGATAACAGCTATCAGAAGAGCCCTAGCAAGTCCCATGAATGAAGCGAATTACACAATCATGATCGAACTACATTGGATATGAACACGGAGGAAGGAAAGGTAAGGAGAGGCCATGCCCAGCCGGCGCGGGGCGTGAAAAGTGTGGCGGAAATGACATCATGGCGGCCATATTCACTAGGCACAATGGTGGCGTTGTTATGGTTACAAGTTGCACATTGGAGCTGGTCTAGCAGTGAGCGGCCACGGCTGGCGGCGGAAAGTGTGCCTCCCCAGGTCTCGTGCTGAGCCGTGTCGGACAATATCTGTGCTCTGCGCCGCGTTATTGGTTACGCAGTGTCCTCCTGGCAGTTACATTATTCTTAGCAACGTTTACAAATCCCTTAATCCATCACGGGGTGTCAACAGTGCGTAGAACAAGTGCATATCCATGTGTCGTGCGGCGGATGACGCGGATGAAGCAGTTAGTGTTCAGCGAAATTGCATTGAGCACCATGACGAAGCTGAATGACGACGAACGCCTTGCAGGTCAGTGACGGTTGAGCAGTGGTTCTGCTTGTGACAACGGACGACGCTGTTGAGCCCAGCAAGACGCCATGAGGACCATGTGCACATATGTATTTTTGTGTTGTATGTGTACAGTAACAACTTGCATGTGCGTATTAAAACACCTTTTCTGTTCCGCTTGGTACACCCTTCACCAGCATTGCATGTAATCTCAACGTAACAGCAACCGCGTTCAACTGTCACTAGCACCGTGCTCAGTCACCACGGTCGCAGAATGCTGACGCCGGTGAGTTTCACGCGGAACACGGACAGTGGCAGGACGCTGCCTCGGCCGCATGGCGGAATGCAACCGTAGAAGGCGCACGACTGATCGTGTTGTCTGTACAGTTGCTGAATTAATGACGTGAAAGCACTCGCCGTTGTCAGTGCATCTAGCGCGCGTTCTCTCGTAGTTGCTTCGTTGTCGGCGAGCTGTTACTCCCTGTTATTACTCGGACGAAGCGATTTCGCTGAAGGTGTCTCGCTGGCTCAGAGTGATGAGCCCCGTTCCATTAGTTTCGGATCGTCACGACACACGCGCTGCGCAGCCCACGTGTTTTTCGAGCCGAAAAGAGAGTCGTGCCTTCTGCTTTACATTCGGATGTAAACAAGCGAGGAGAATTTGCCTAGTCAATATGGCCGACTTCCGGCTTCATCCCGGCTTCACAACGAGTGACGTCAGGGCCTCTCCTATCTTTCCTTCCTCCATGGATATGAATGTAGCCGCGTCCTTTGTGTGGCCAACGCTCAGTGTTCCTCGGTCGACGATAATATCATGCTAAATTTGGCAGCTTACGCTTACTATGGACAATTATCTCGGAAATTGCCGTTTATGCGCAGCCTAGTGCAGCAGATTAGATTGGCACAGAACTTCCACCCTTGCGCATATCTACGAAGCTCATAGCCATTATAGATGATTGCACAGCCATAACTGCAGTTTTACTTGTGGTGCTTGTGGCACACGGTAGTCCCACTTCTTATATGAATGCACTGGCCGCCCACGTGCCTTCGAAACAGTCACTTGTCACCATTTATGATTGCATCTGTTCCAGTTTTGCTGGGAGCATTTAAGGAAAGAAGCGCACTTTGACTGGAACAGCATTGGGTGAACATGCACTTTAGGAGAGCCGTCACTTTCGTTGTTGCCCAGCGTGATCGTGTCAAGAGTGACTGCGGTTTCCTTGGCCGCATGGATTTATTGTAAGTTTAGAGGAAAGTGTTCTGAATATACAAATTTTGACCAATGGGACACAGTTCGGCTGGGGAATTTCACAAATGCATATCACCGAATGGTGTTCTACGTTTACATCAATAACGCCTTCTAATTTGTTTAAATTATAAAGCGGTAGTCCAACAGTTTCACAAAAAGCCTGGATCAGATGGGGTTGAATTTTTGTCAATGTTGCCAAATTGCACAGAAATTTTCATTTCAGGGAGATTCTCCAGCACTGTATAAACATAAGAAATGACCTAAATCTGGGAGACTCTGCAGCTATGCACAACTGCCTTGAAAACGCTGACAGACACGTATACTGTATGGTCCAACAAGACATGTTCAGTAAATACTCACAGCCAGATCGAGGGAGCCAACGAAAACTTGGAAAGGCTTATTCATGTACTGTTGCGCGAGCCGGCGCACACCCTCTGGCCATGTGGCACTAGTCATAACTGTCTGTCGGTCTGGCCGAATGTCCAGTAGCACCTTCTTGATCTGTGGTTCAAAGCCCATGTCCAGCATGCGGTCCGCTTCATCCAAGATCTGAAAATGGTAATAATCAGCTATGGTAATGATCAGCTGTAAGACAAGAAGGCATGTGGGACCAACAATTTATCTTGCAACAAAGCTTGTTTAGCTCTTTCGTTACTGTGCAAAAATGGTTTCTTTAGAGACAAAGCTCCTTATGGCGTCACTCGATTATCCTCTGTAATAACCACCTCTCCCGGGTATGTGCCACAGGGGAGTTTAGTTCTTGGAATGTCCGCTAGATGGTGTCACTTGTATATAATCAATACATGTTGAAAAGATGTGAGATTTACGTGCCACAGGGGAGTTTAGTTCTTGGAATGTCCGCTAGACGGTGTTACTTGTATATAATCAATATATGTGGAAAAGATGTGAGATGGTGGTACTTCGAGTGTTCACTACATGGACAGACATACAGATGAACTGACGCACAGACAGACAGATCTCTTGAGTATGTGTCACAGGGTAGTTTAGTTCTTGGAATGTCCGCTAGAAGGCGGTACTTGCATATAATCAATATATGATGAAAAGATGCGAGATAGTGGTACTTAGAGTGTTCACTAGATAGACGCATGGACAGACAGATCGACCAACGGTTGCATGGACGCACATACAGACATACATGATTAAAAGATGCAAGATTATAGCATCAACTCTTATGTCTTACCTAGAATCAATCAGTTTTTCTACCCTTTTCGGCATGGTTTCCGAAAGTATCTTTCTTGCGAAACACAACTGGCTGAATTTACTAATGACATACTACTGCAAATGGATGATCACGCACAAATACATGCAATTTTCTTAGATTTCTCCAAGGCTTTCGATCGCGTACCCCACAAGCACCTGCTCATCAAATTATCCGCTCTAGGTATCCCCCCAAACCTTATAAAATGGCTCCAGCATTTCTTAACAGGACGCGTTCAGTTTACCATTGCTAACAATTTCCAATCAGCCCTTACCAGCGTCACTTCTGGTGTTCCCCAGGGCGCCGGCTTATCACCTCTATTAATTCTTATGTACGTGAATGACCTTCCTAATAACATTAAATCACAGCTGCACCTATTTGCAGATGACTGCGTTCTTTATGACCCCCTTCACTCCTTTAACGACGCAATCACCCTACAACACGACCTTGACACCATCACTTCATGGTGCAAAAAATGGCATATGCCCCTAAACCTCGCTAAATGCAAGGTCATGTCCTTCACACGTAAACACAACACCTCACATAAAACCTACTGCGTTAATTCGGTTCCCATTGATCACACGCGTACTTAGAAGTACCTAGGAGTTCATCTGACATCATCACTATCATGGGTGAAACGCATTGAAACCATTCGTTCTGAAGCTTCCCGCACATTAGGCTACTCTGACGTCACCTGCGATCTGCATCTCCTGACATAAAGAAACTCGCATATCTGACATACGTGCGACCAAAACTCGAGTATGCATAACAGAATAGAAAGTTGGGCGAGTTGGTGTATATTCATATTAAAGGAAAGCGGCGCACAAAAAGACAGAGACAAAGAAGAGAACCACACACAGCGCTGCACTCACAACTGAAAGTTTAATCCGAGCAACAAGAATTTAAAAAGTAATAGCCGCACATGACAAGTGAGGTACCACGAGATTAAATGATACGCACATCAATAAAAGTGAACTCTTTTTTGTGCAATGTAACCGAGGTCTGGCTTACGCAAGCATCACGGGACTTGTTAATATGATAGGCTTCAGACACCTCACGGGTGAATTGATCGTGGTGCTTAAAAACAATGGTTTCTTGTCATTATGGATAGTGCAATGTTTTCAGAAAAGGCATGTAAAGCTATAGAGAAGAACTTTAAGCCAGCCTCTGTGACGTTGTCCAAGGTCAGAGATAAGGCGGTTAACCTTTTGCGGGACCTTAATCTTGAGAGATTGGCCTCCTCTGTGGCAAAAAGCCAGGGTTTGGAATTGAGCTCGTTCTTTACGATAAAAACCCATAAGCCTGACATGCCTTTTCGTACCATAATTACGGAAACAGACACGTGGCAGAAAAATGTATCCAGGTATTTAGAAAGCCATTTGAAGCAGCTGTGCGTTCATGATCCCTTTAGAGTGGAAAATTCGGGTGCGGTGGTTCAGTTTCTTAGGGAGCGCGACACGAGCTCCTGTCTGGCGTTTAGTATAGATGTTGTTGACATGTTTTTTTCGATTCCTAATCATAAGCTCCTAGTGTGCGTTCAGGAATGCATCAAGGAAGACAATGATGAGCTTCGTTTCAGAAGTAGTAGTGGTATATCTGTAGAATCGTTCATTGAATTACTAGCTTTTTACCTAAAGTCTACGTACATTGGTTGGCGAGGGCGGACCCTAATCCAGCGTTCAGGAGTCTGTATAGGTTCGTGCGTTGCACCTGTCCTTTGTGAAATTTGTTTAGCCAAAATAGATCGCATTGTAGACACAATCCTAAGCGGAACTGTGATGCGTATTTTCCGATATGTGGACGATTTTTTAGTTGTTATAAAGGATGCCACGTTCCCGGATAATGTTTCCAATGTGTTGAATGTGTTCAGGACAGAAGGCATGGGTTTGTCCTTCACATCGGAGGTTCCAGAATCCGACTGTCTACAATTTCTCGATCTTAAACTTCGGTTTCAGAGTTCCCATATTTGCTGGTGCTTTGAGCCACGATCAGTGAAACCAATTCTTAATTTTGGATCAGCCCACTCAAAGGTGGTAAAGAGGGGCATCGCTTTCACCTGCCTTAAATCCACTCTAGAAAAATCGTGCAGGCATGTGTTGGGCTCGGGTTTTGCTAAGCAAGTTGCAAGACTAGAGGAAGCAGGATTCCCCCCTAACATAATTGTGGCTGTTTGCGATAAGTTAATTGGTGGTTTAAAAGGACGTGCAGCTAGGAAAATCAATCGGGAAAAAATGAAGTTCGCAGCGATTCCTTATATGCATAAACTGGCACATGGGTTAAAAAATGCTGGTTCCCGCTACGGAGTTGATGCGGTTTTTAGGGCACCCAATAAATTGGGAAAGATATGTGCATTGGTGTCAAATCAGCTAGACAAGAAGGATAAGCCAGATGTAAAGAAATGTGCCATAAACCATAGAAATAAGTATGTGCCTTGTGCTGTGGGGGTGGTGTACCGCATTCCTTTATCTTGTGGCCTTCATTATGTGGAACAGACGGGCCGCTGTGTCAATAAAAGGTTGCGGGAGCACTATCTCTCTTTGCATAACGGCACGCCTTTCCATTTGGCTTCGCATTGTGCCACGTGTGGGTGCACGCCTGTTCTGTCTGACACCGTTATTGTTTTTAAGCACCACGATCAATTCACCCGTGAGGTGTCTGAAGCCTATCATATTAACAAGTCACGTGATGCTTGTGTAAGCCAGACCTCGGTTACATTGCACAAAAAGGAGTTCACTTTTATTGATGAGCGTATCATTTAATCTCGTGGTACCTCACTTGTCATGCGCGGCTATTACTTTTTAAATTCTTGTTGCTCGGATTAAACTTTCAGTTGTGAGTGCAGCGCTGTGTGTGGTTCTCTTCTTTGTCTCTGTCTTTTTGTGCGCCGCTTTTCTTTTAATTCGAGTATGCGTCATCCATCTGGCATCCTTCACAAGCTTATCTCACCGATGATTTGAAAGCCATTAAAAATCGCACAGCTCGTTTCATTACGTCACAATATTCAAGGCATATCAGCGTAACCGCACTAAAACAAACGTCACTCGCATCGCTCGCTTCACGTTGCATAACCTCTCGTATCTGCCTCCTTCACACATTCTTTTACTTTAGCAGGTAGGGACACTCTCTCCTAAAACGCCCATTAAGAACGTCCTCTCGCCTGTCCCATACGCACCCTCTGATGACCATAAAATGCCAGACGACAGCGATGAGCAGCTCATTTTCCCCCCATGCCGTGACACTCTGGAATGCACTGCCAGATAACATTGTTTCTTGCAGGGACGACTCAACATTTCGCGAAAAACTAACTATTTTCCAAAATCCAAATACGATGTCCTTACAGCACATTAACTATTGCATTTATAGTTATTTTACGGTACTCCTAGAATTTATTTATCGCCTATTATATTTTTCATGTTTTGTTATGTGTGTTATTTCCACTTGTGTTCTTTATTTGCTCAATCATTGTAATCAGTGTGTACCCTCATATTATTACATTGCTTAGGAACTTACAACCTGGATATACGACCCCCCCTTATGTAATGCCTTCGGGCGCTTAAGGTAGAATAAATGAAAAAAAAAAGATGGTGGTACTTGGAGTGTTCACTGGACGAACGGGCATACAGACAGACAGACATATAAGATCAAAAGATGAGAGACAGTGGTTCTTACAGTGTTCAATAAATGAACAGACATACAGACAGACAGACGTACAGATGCACGGGCGGACAGATCGACCCCCAATTGGACGGACGGGCAGATGCACGAACAGACGGACGGACGCTTCATCCCACTCATCATCATAAAGTTCGTGGATATGCTGTGATCTTTTTCATCTGTCTTTGAAAGAATGTTTTTCCCATTTTTATAAATAGCCCAGCACGCAGTGTAACATATCAAATTTTGCACAAATATTTGCTCTGCCCCAAAAAATATACCTTGTAGAACAAAAATATTTTGAAATGAATAAATATGTGAAATGATGATTGATTGATTTGTGGGGTTTAACGTCCCAAAACCACCATATGATTATGAGAGACGCGGTAGTGTAGGGCTCCGGAAATTTCGACCACCTGGGGTTCTTTAACGTGCACTCAAATCTGAGTACACGGGCCTACAACATTTCCACCTCCATCGAAAATGCAGCCGCCACAGCCGGGATTCGATCCCGCGACCTGCGGGTCAGCAGCCGAGTACCTTAGCCACTAGACCACCGTGGCGGGGCAACAAATATGTGAAAAGTAGGTAAGTTTTAGTTGCCAGCTGGTAAACAGTGAAAAAAAAAACACTATACATGCAAAAACATTCAAAACAAACAAAATTCAGAATATAC